AATTAATATTTTTCTTGAACATTAACTTACCAGACACTGAATAACTGCATAAATTAGTAAGTGTAAGGCAAATAAGCCTATTTTCTTGTTCTCTGAAAGCTAAATATTTCCTGTTGCACACACCAAACAAGTCAGTCCAAGACTAATGGCATGGCCATCGGCTGTTAAAATATTCGCTGCTGGTATTAGTGGAGAGAAATGGTGCGCCTGAGAGTAAGGCTCGTAAGGGAAATGAATACAACATGACTATAGTGATCAGTCATTACGACTGTTGTAGTTCGTTATTAATAATTATGTATAACAGGATATTGTAAAAATTAAGTTATAAATTTTTGTTAAAGCGTTTCTTACATACCGTTATATTGTCTGGGCTGAAAAAATATTCGTGAGGGCCGCATGTGGCTGGAGCCGTGTGTTTGACATGCTTGGGCTACTCCGTGCTTCCTTCCCTCTGCAAACCAGCTTTCTCCTTTTCCTCCTCAACACAGCAGCACACTGCCCTCCTGGGCTCCCCAGTCCCGTCTCAGACCCTGGGAAGGTGCTGTTGGGCGCAGGTACAGCCCAAGGGGGGTGTGGACCAGATGCCCAGCCCTGCCTGCTGTTTCCTGGCGTGGCGGCCCGAGGCCCACCCTCCGGTGTCTGGGGCCCATACTGGACAGTGGAGACGGGGAGACACCCAGGAGCAAGACGACCAGGGAGAATTTTGCTCATTTTTTGTTTGTTTTTCAGTTGAGATGAAGTGTCCACATCATATGCAGCAATGTGCTCCCGACACCCCAGATCAAGACTTAGAACAATCCGCCGAGACCAGTTTGGCTCAGTGGTAGAGTGTCAGTCTGCAGACTGGAAGGTCCCTGGTTCGATTCCGGTCAAGGGCATGTACGTTGGTTGTGGGCACATCCCCGGTGGGGGGCAGCGGGGAGGCAGCTGGTCGATGTTTCTCTCTTATCGACGTTTCTAGCTCTCTCTCTCTCTCCCTTCCTCTCTGTAAAAAATCAATAAAATATATATTTTAAAAAAAGACTTAGAACAATCCCAGCACCCCGAAGGCCCCACTGCCCTCCCGGCAGGTCCCGCCCTGAAGACTCGTTGCCTTTCCTTGAACTCCAGGTAAATGGAATCGCAGTCTGTGTTCCTTCGGGCTACGGCCTTTCTCCTCACGCCTGTGAACAAACCCATGACTGCACGTGGGAACCAGAACTCAGTCCTTTTGGAAGGGGAAACCCCAAAGCAAAAGCCTCCTTTTGCTGTTCAACCTTGTGAGGTTTTCTGTTGTTGTTGCTGTTGTTTGTTTGTTGTTGTTTTTTCCTTTTTTAAAAAATATATTTTATTGATTTATTTTATTTTTTTTTTTCACAAAGAGAAAGAGAGAGTGATAGAGAGAAACATCGATGAGAAAGAAACATCATTCAGCTCCTCCTGCACACCCCCCACCGGGGACGTGCCTGCAACCAAGGCACATGCCCTTGACCAGAATCGAACCCGGGACCCTCCAATCAGCAGGCCAATGCTCTACCCCCTGAGCCAAACTGGTTTCAGCTGTTGTTTGTTTTTTAATCCTCATCTGAAGATCTTTTTCTCATTGCTTTGTAGAGTGAGAGGAAGGGAATGAGGCGGGGAGACAGAGAAACATGGATGGGAGAGAGACAATTTCTTGCCTCCCATACACACCCTGACCTAGGAATGAACCTGCAACCCAGACACAGGCCAGAACTGAACCTGTGACCCTTCAGTACGCGGGCTGACATTGTAACCACTGAGCCACATCGGCCGGGACAAACATTGTGAGGTTTGATGCAGAAAGCACTTCATTCTTGCTAACAGTTTGGAAGCACAGACATTGCCCACGTTCTCTTTGCTGTGCTCTCCACTTGTGATGGGAAAACTCCATTCTTCCTTCTCCGGGAAGCTGGCCATGAGCAGATGGACACAGGGCTGATGGTTTCACAGCTTCATTCGCAGAGAGAAACAGCTCCTCCTCCTCCCCTGCCTCCGTGTGGAAGGGAACCTTAACTGGCTTCCCGGGCTCAGCCCCAGGAGTGGGGGGAGGGGGGGGCGGGGGAGCCAGGAGGAGCTCAGGGGAAAGTGGTGTAGCCGCCGAGTTCCATAAAAATGAGGAAGGACAGTGTTGCTTCAATCGGTGTTATTTCCATGTCTCCGGAACTGGCTGGGCTTCTCTCATTTTGAGGGGCTCCTGGCTGGCTCCTACAGTTGCTCCCTTATATTTCTCCCTCATGTGGTGTAAGGGGAGGGGGAAGGGAAGGTAGTACTCAGGTTGAGCACCTACTGTGCGCCAGGCACTTCCAAGGGGTTCTACGTACATAATCTTTTTTTAATTGATTTTTGACAGAGATGAAGGGAGAGGGATAGAGAGTCAGAAACATTGATGAGAAACATTGATCAGCTGCCTCCTACACCCCCCTCCCCACTGCCGCATTGGGGATGTGCTCCCAACCAAGGTACACTCCTCTGACCGGTATCAAACCGGTGACCCTTCAGTCCGCAGGCCGATTCTCTATCCACTGAGCCAAACTGGCTAGCGCTGTCTTTTTTTTTTTTTTTTTTTTTTTTTTTTTTTTAATATATGTACTGCTGCCCTAGCTGGTTTGGCTCAGTGGATAGAGTGTCGGTCTGCAGACTAAAGGGTCCCAGGTTTGATTCCGGTCAAGGACACATGCTCAGGTTGTGGACTCAATTCCCCCCAAGTAGGGGACGTGCAGGAGGCAGCCAATCAATGATTCTCTATCATCATTGATGTTTCTATCTCTCTATCTCTCTCCCTTCCTTTCTGAAGTCAATAAAAAATATATTTTTTAAAATATATGTACTGCTGAAATGAGCCCCATAATTTTTTACAAAATGTTCATTTTAATTTTTTTCAATTACAATTGACATTCAATATTATATTATTTTAAGCCCTAGCTGGTTTGACACAGAGAATAGAACATCAGCCTGCAGACTGAAGGGTCCCAAGTTTGATGTCCAGGTTGCAGGCTCCATCCCCAGTCATTGATGTTTCTAGCTCTCTCTCCCTCTCCCTTCCTCTCTGAAATCAATAAAAAAAATATATTATACTAAAGGCCCGATGCACGAAATTCGGCTCGGCCCTCGCAGCCCCAGCGTGGTTCAGAAGGTCGTCCCAGAAGAATGTCCAGAAGGTCGTTTGGCTGTCCAGTCTAATTAGCATAACAAGCTTTTATTATCATAGATTAGCTTCAGGTATACAACAAAGTGGTTAGACATTTGCATAACTTTGAAGTTACCCCCCCCCCATAAGTCTAGTGCCCAGCTGGCACCATACATAGTTATTAAATATTATTGATATATTCCCTACCTGAACTTCACATCCCGTGACTGTTTTGTAGCTCCCAATTTGTACTTCTTAATCCCTTCACCTTTTTCACCAACCCCTTCCCCCTGGCAATCATCAGTTCTCTGTATCTGTGCGTTAGTTTTTAGTTTGGGGTTTTTTTGTTCATTTATTTTGTTCATTAGATTCCACATGGAAGTGAAATCATGTGGTATTTGTGTTTCTCTGTCTGCTTAGAATGCCCTCACGGTCCATTCATGGTGTCACACCATAGGTGTGGTCTTATTCCATCCCGGCCGAGGGGGGCGCCCTGGCCCTCAGACAGAGGAGACGGCTCAGGGAGCTTACTCCTGCAGCCCCTGTCCTCGGTCACGGAGCAGTCAGTGCTGAGCTCTGAAGCCACGTCTGCTGTGCTGAGGCAGCTGTGCTGAGGCAGCCCCCCCCCCGGGCCTCCCTGGGAGCCGATGTCCAGCCCTGGGCGGGGAGGGCCCGCTGCGCTGGCCAGGCCTCTGGGAAAGCTGCGCTGCCCGCAGCTGAGCACACGCGGGCAGCTGCCCCCTTCCCAGGGGGGGCGGGGAGATAGCTCAGCCGCCTCCCGCCCCCGGGGCCTGGGCCGGGGCCAGGGTCAGGGAAGCCTGAACGGAAGGGAGAGTCTTAAATGCTGGCCTTGCAGGTATTAAGTGAGAAAAGGGAACCAGCGAGAATCGTCTGAGGATCTCCTAAGGGCTCTGAACTGCTCTTGGAGACAGCCTGTGTGAGGGCGGGAGGGGTGCGCCCAGAGCCAGAACACACACACACACACGCATACACACGCGCGCACATACATGCACACACATACACACACACACACACCGCCCCCACGGGGCTGCGGACCTGGTCAGCCACAGGGACCCGGGAGGCCTCCTCCTGAGCCTGACACCAGGTCCTGGCCTGGGGGGGTCAGAGCAGCGCCAGACTAGCGCAAGGAGGGGAGGGCTTCGGAGGGAAGCGCAGGAGGGCCCACGGGCCTCCCTTCCCTCACCTTCGCCCCAGCCCGTGAGGCGCTCAGGAACCGGAGGCGAAAGACGGCAACAGGAGCAGCAGCCAACACCCTGCTCACATGTGCCAGCCCTGTCCTGAGCTCTAACTCCTTATTAATATGTAAACAGCATATCGATTCCATTAGTCCTTACAAATGTTTTTTAAAGATTTTTAATAGATTTTTAATAGATTTTTAGAGAGGAAGGGAGAGAGAAACGTCATGCATCGGCTGCCTCCTGCACACCCCCCAGGGGGACGGAGCCCACAGCTCAGGCTGAACTGAACTGGCAGCCCCTCAGGGTGCAAGACGAGGCCAACCAACTGAGCCACACCGGCCAGGGCGCCCTCACAACTCTTGAAATGACCCTCAGTTGGCAGAAAGGGAAACTGCCACGCACAGGCGGGTGGCTTGTGCAGGTAAACGTGCCCCAGGGCCCACACTGCACGTGACGCAATACCACCCCCCCCCCATCAGCCAGGTGCCCGGGTGCCACCCACTTACCTTATCAGCCCCCCCCCAGCGCGGTGCCGCAGCTGGCTCTGCTCACGCAGCCCTGCGAGCCGGGAAGGTGGGTCCTGGCGGACAGGCCTTTTATAGCCCCAGCACCCAGCCGGCCCTGTCTTCTGCCCCTGACCTGCGGCTGCTCCCGACCCACTGTGTCCACTCGCCATGGAGAAGATCCTCGTCCTGCTGCTGGTCACCCTGGCCGTGGCCTACGCCGTCCCCGACCCCCGCGGGATCATCATGAACCTGGTAGGGGGGTCCGGGGGCGGTAGGCGTGGCTCCTGACCCCGGGTCCCCCCGGGGCTGCGGGCTGGGAGGTGAGGCGCCTGTGCCCATCCTGCCCTGCTCCCCAGGGGCCGGAGGAGCTGCCCCCCGGCACCTGCTCAGAGGTCAGCCTGGCTAAGGGGTCTGCAAACTAGAGCCTCGCGCCCTGCCTGACAGCCTGGCTCAGGGCCAGTGCTTAGGCTCTGGCCCCGACCCCAGCGCCCCCTTCCAGGGACCAGGCGTCCTGAGAGCCTCACGGACACTGAGGGGCCCTTCCTCTCCACCTGGACAGCCATGCTCCTCCCCCTCCCACCCCTCCCTGGCACCCCGCCTCTCCCCAGGGCAGGACCAGGCTCTCTGGGGGCCGCCCACCCCATCTAGAGGTCCCGAAGGGGGGCCACGCCCGGGCTGGGGTGCTCAGGTCTGTGTGTGGGGGGGGGGGGAGTCCGGGGAGAAGGCCCCCCATTGTCACAGCTCCTTCCTCACAGGCCTGTGGGGCCCAGGGGCTCGGAGGCCGTTTGGGGGCCACGTGAGCACCCTCCATGGGAGCACTGAGGCAGGGGGGGCACGACCCCAGGGCCGCCCAGGGAGGTGCTGGAATGGGGTGTCCTGCCCCCGCCAGGCTGCCTCCCTGCACCACACCGCCCTTCCTCCGGGGTGGGGTGGGGTGGGGCGGGGGGAGGGCCGGGGGGCCGGGGGGAGGGCCGGGGGAGCCGGGGGAGGGCCGGGGGAGCCGGGGGAGGGCCGGGGGAGCGGGGGGAGGGCCGGGGGAGCCGGGGGGAGGGCCGGGGGAGCCGGGGGGAGGGCGGGGGAGCCGGGGGGAGGGCGGGGGAGCCGGGGGGAGGGCCGGGGGAGCGGGGGGAGGGCCGGGGGAGCCGGGGGAGGGCCGGGGGAGCGGGGGGAGGGCCGGGGGAGCGGGGGGAGGGCCGGGGAGCCGGGGGGAGGGCCGGGGAGCCGGGGGGAGGGCCGGGGAGCCGGGGGGAGGGCCGGGGGGCCCGCTGACCGCCTTCCCCGCAGGAGGAGGGCGAGCTCTGCATGAACAGCGCCCAGTGCAAGAGCAAGTGCTGCCATCGCGCCAGCGGCCTGAGCCTGGCCCGCTGCGCGCCCAAGGCCAGCGAGAACAGCGAGTGCTCCGCCAAGGTGGGTCCCGGGGCGGCCTCAGGCCTGCGGAGGCGGGAGGGGGCGCCGGAACCCCCAGTGCGGGCGAAGGGGGGTCAGCGGGCCGGGGTCAGTGACCGGGAGCCGGGAGGCGGGGGCCGTTCCCTGAGGGGGAGTCAGGCTCCCAGAGCAGAGGAGCCAGGGCGGAGCCGGGAGCCGGGAGGGGGGCAGTCAGGGAGAGGCACCTCGGGTCAGGTCCAGGGAAGGGACCCCCAGATCCAGGGACCCCCCCACCGGCCTGTGACTCCCGGCTCCTGTCTCCGCAGACGCTCTACGGGGTTTACTACAAGTGCCCCTGCGAGCGGGGCCTGACCTGCGAGGTGGACAAGTCCATCGTGGGCTCCATCACCAACACCAACTTCGGCTTCTGCCGCGACCAGAGCCGCTCCAGGGAGTGAACGCCCCCCCCTGCCCATGAGGATGCCCCTGCGCCCCCTCTCCCCGCTGGCCACCCCCGGACAGCACCTCCGTTCTGATTGGGTTCTTGCCATTAAAGCCCGTCCTGCAGACCTCCCGCCTGCTCTTCCTGCCCTTGGTCTGCCTGGCGCGCCTCTCCCAGCCCAGCCCCAGCCCAGCCCCAGCCCAGCCCCAGCCCCAGCCCCAGCCCAGCCCCAGCCCAGCCCCAGCCCAGCCCCAGCCCCAGCCCAGCCTCAGCCCAGCCCCAGCCCAGCCCCAGCCCAGCCCCAGCCCAGCCCCAGCCCAGCCCCAGCCCAGCCCCAGCCCCAGCCCAGCCTCAGCCCAGCCCCAGCCCAGCCCCAGCCCAGCCCCAGCCCAGCCCCAGCCCAGTCCCAGCCCCAGCCCAGCCCCAGCCCAGCCCCAGCCCAGCCCAGCCCAGCCCCAGCCCCAGCCCCAGCCCCAGCCCAGTCCCAGCCCAGCCCCAGCCCAGCCCGGGAGGGGAGGGTCTCCCCCAGTGGGGAGACGGGCTGTAAGGCAGAGGGCCTCCAGTTTCTGGGGGGCAGCCCCCCTCCCTGGGAGGCCCTCCTTCCCCTCGGGTGCTCAGACAGGAAGACAGGCAAGCATGTGTACACACACACATACACACATACATGTACCCACATGCACACACACGCACACCCCACTGACGGGGGCACACCCCACTGGCGGGGGCTATATTGACCCTATTCTTTGCCCTGCACCAGAGCTTCCCTGTACCCCGTGCTGGGCTCCCACCTCTGGCTGGGCCCCCCTCTCAGATGTGACAACCAGAGGACACACGCATGTGTGACGGGCCAGACTGGTAGGGTCGCCGAAGGAGGAACGCATGAGGCCAAAGGGGTAAAGGGTTGTGAGCTCATTAGGTCATCCGGGTACCAGATGGGCTGAGCCCCAAAATGGCGTCAGCGCCCAAAGACGGGAGCCAGCGGTTTCCAAAGGCTCGGGGGGCAGAGTTCTCTGTGCGGTCCGGACCCTGGGGACTCCGGAGGGGAGAGCCGTCTTAGCAAGTGGGATGTCCGTTGGGAAGTGGCCTGACACAGACACCAGCATCGCGTGGGCGCCCTGTGCTCGCCAGTCAGAGCCTCACGGGGACCTGGGAGCAAGGCTGTCTCCGCTCAGAGATAAAAGGCTGAGGGGTGAGAGGTCCAGTACCTTGCCCGATGTCACAGAACTAGCAAAAGTTGACACTAAACCCCCACCCCCCACCTCTTTCCTACAATTCCCTGTTTTTTCCCAATTATCCATGCCAAGACAACTGGGTGGAATTGCAGGAAATTTAGTTCTGGTTTAATATAAAAATTTCATACTGAAACCTGGGTCCCCGTCTGAGATGTGCAAGTGGAGGGCCGCTGAGTGGGGATGCTGGAGAGGAGAGTCACGGTGGGAGATGAACTCAGAGAGACGGAGGTGTCTCCCAGCCCCCGGATTCTGCAGTTCCAGCATCAAGGATCCTTCGAGTATCATTAAGGTTATGAGTTAGGGATTCGTTCAGTTGTAACCAAAAAACAACAAGTAATATGGCTTTAGACATAGGGGCGTATGTTTCTCACGAATGAAGAAGTCTAGAGATGGGGGTGCTGGCGTTTGTTTGGGGGCTGGCGGATCCGCTGTTCTCTGGACCGTCTCACAGTTGGCAAACGCCTGCATAGCAGCTCCTCACGTCACCTCCTCTCACCGTATGCGAAGCGACAAAGTGCAGAGCAGAGGGTGGGAGAGGGAGTGAGGGCAGTCGGTCTCCTAGCACACCCTCTTGTCCTGTGCTAAAGCCTCCTGAAGACTTCTCCACATCTCCGTGTCTACAATAGGTCACCTGACCGCCTCTGGCTGCAAGGGAGGCTGGGAAAGCAGGCACTGGCCAAAGGCGATGTGGTTAAATTAGTCACAGTCCCTCCCCAGGGGTTGGACACGTTATAACTCAAACATTGGGGTTCAGTGAGCAAGGAAGGGGCAATGGCTGGTTCCAGTCCTGCCACACGGGAGTCAGTGCTCAGCCAGAGGGGCTCTCAACACCGTAACCCACAGGGGTCTCGGGCCCCGAGGCAAGGTGGGGCACACTTCTCGGTGCCCAGATTCAGCCCTGCGGGGCCTGCACTCCTTCACTACTTCACACAACTCCTGAGTGGCCACGTGCTCAGCACTGAGTTACAGACGGTGGGGACACGAGGACAACGCCCTTCCTTTCCAGGAGTGAGTAGGGAGCTGGGCTTTGCAGAAGCAAGTGGCCCAGAGCCCCGTTCCCTCCTATTAAGTATATGTCACCTGGGACACTGTTTCTTCATACTGAGCCTGGCTAACACAGGCTGCTGGGCAGACGGAGCCTGGGGCTCTTGCTCTTGTTCTAAAAAGCCTTTCTCTCTCTAAGCCTGAGCCCCCGTCCTCCCGTTTTCTGACTCACAGACAGCTGTCCTAGAGGCCGTCGCCTTGGCATTGACCTCTCCATCCTAACAGCCTGCTCCCAGGAATCCCCATATGGCTGGGGCTTTTTCTAGTCCTGCCAGACATTCAGCTCTGGAAGCCGGGTGTTTGCAGCCTGGAGTCCGTAAGACATTGTCTAACGATGGCGCTCAGCCAGCCACATGTCCATCCCTTGGCTTGTGGCTCATCTGAATGGAGAGAAGGGCGAATTACAAACTGGATTTTGAAGACCAAGTTCCAAAACAAGCTAAAATATCTCCAAAAAAATTACATGTTGAAATGAAAAAAAGCTTTAATTCAAAGTTGATTCCACCTGCGGATCATACTTTCAGTATGGCTATTCGAACATTTGAAATCTCATATGTGGCTCCATTTTACTTCCATTGGACAGGGCTGCCTAGAGAACTGACTCTCCACAGAGGAAGCGCCTCTGACACCTCGAAGCACTTTCTCCCCAAGGGCTCTAGCTTCTGGCAGCAGAGGCCTCACCAGTGACCTCTCTTTCCTCAGGGGCAGCTGAGGAATCCGTGGGCTGTGAAGGGTCCAGAATACACCGTTGCAGCATTGCAATTGTTTTGAACAGAAGGCATTTGAGTGAAGGCTTTTTTCTGAACCCCCTTATCTACCAGAGCCCCCTAAAGAACTCAGTTATCGTCATAAACCGCCTCCTGGGAGGTTTCTTATAACGAGCCAAGATGGACTCTTGCTGCGTTGACTTCATTATCGGAGAGATGTTTGCACCACACCTAAGTGGCCATTGTCACACAGTTGTCATATCTCTCCCATTTACTCTCCTACGAGCCCATTTATCTTTCCTAAAACTCATTTGTCTTCCCATAAATGCCCTCCCCCATCTTTTTCCCCTATTAAAAAGTCATTTTCCAAAGTGTCCTTCTCTGCCCTAGCTGGTTTGGCTCAGTGGATAGAGTGTCAGCCTGTGGACTGAAGGGTTGCAGGTTTGATTCTGGTCAAGGGAACATGCCTGGGATACGGGCTCCATCACCAGTAGGCAGGAAGCAACCGATCAATGATTCTTTCTCATCATTGATGTTTCTCTCTCTCTCTCTCCTTTTCTCTCAAAATCAATAAAAATACCTTTAAAAAAAAAAAGTTTCATTCTCCCCCTCGCTTCCCCATTTGGATGGTATATGAGCCCCAAATTCTAACTGCCTCACTGAGTCACTGGAACTCCCCCATTTCTCTGTACTAATAAAAGGGTAATATGCTAATTAGACCAAAGCCACAAGGGCTGCAAGGACTGAGGGCCTTCGGCGCGGGAGAGGCAGCAGCACGGGAGGAGCAGGCCATCTCAGCAGCTGTGAGAGGACAGCTCTTGCGACAGCCAGGGGAGAAGAGACACACACACCCCTCCCCCAGTGTATGAATTTTCATGCACCTGGTCTCTAGTATATATATAAAAGCCTAAGATTGCATGACCAGACGATTGGCTGGTAGCTGTAACCTACACTGACCACCAGCAGCAGACGCTCAACTCAGGAGCTGCTCCTGGTGATGGGCGTGCTCCCACAGCTGGAGCACCACTCAGCTGACAGACGGGCACCAGACACCAGGCTCACCAGCCTCTCCTAAGGACACCTCCCCTGCGTGCCCGTGCAGCGGCAGCAGCAGGGCCGGGATGAGTGGGAGAAGTGCTCCTTCCTGGCCACCTACTGCTTCCCGCACTGCTTCACGCTGTGCGAGACCAGTATGGACAGGGGGCTGGAGCCAATGAGCTGACTGTGAGGCTGAGCTTCAGGGGTGCAGAGGTCCGCTGATCCCCACAGGCCAGGCCAAGGGACCCAACTGGTGCACAAATCCGTGCATCAGGCCTCTAGTCTATGTATATAAAAGCCTAATATGCAAATTGTCCCCTCGGGAGTTCAATCAGGAGACCAGGAGTTCGGTCGCTCACTATGACGTGTACTGACCACCAGGGGATGGCACAGAATGAAGGCAGGCCCCAGCCAGCAGCTGGAAGGCCCCGATTGGCCCTGATTGCTGGCCAGGCCTAGGGACTCTACCCATGCATGGAGTTTGTGCACCGGGCCTCTAGATTACAAATAAAGAAAAATCTGTCTTTTCTCTTGTTAATCTCTTCTGTCACTTTAATTTGCAGACCTCCAAACACTGAACTAAGAGGATAGAAAAAAAATTTTCTACCCAACATTTAGAATTAGTTTAATCATATCAGCAACATATCTTTTTTTTCTCTCCCCTCAACTTCTAAGACAATGATTACCCCTGGAGGCTGGGCTTCCAGCTTGCAACCTCTACTTCCAAGGTTGTTTCATTGCTTCTCCAAATGGGGGGACTCATGTTAACACTATGAACTATAACAATGTGTATCTGCCTGATGTATATGTAACACTATGGATATGTCTGATGTGTTTACATATTCTACTAAATTATGACTTGCACTTTTGCTGACTTATAGGAGAGTGTTCTTGCACCATAAACCTGGCACCCTGGACAGCAACCTCTTGCTCAGGTCTGGAGGCTTCGCTTTAATCAGAAGCGTGCGGAGCCTGGAGCCTGCGGTGCGAAGTGT